AGATCCACTTTATCTTCAGTAGACAACTGTTGATAAATACGTGTACCTTTTGATTGATGACTTTAGTAGTTCGCCAACTTTCAGCCCCGTACAATTGGACTTTTTTGACTTCTGTATTAAAATTTATGGCTTAAGTGTTGACCTACAGTTATTTGGAGTTCCAGATGTTCTTCATTTGTAGAAATGTTACTGTTGCTTGCTAATTCATATCTTCACATCAGTATCAGAGATCACTTTTCTTTCACAATGATGCTACTCAAGTATGTAAAACGACAGTTGCCAAATACACTTAAATTCGTTTATAAAAACTAACAAATTAACAAAACTATTATGTGTTTAAATACATTCAATTCAAATGTATATGATCGCTGAAAAGCAATAGGAATTAATCGTAGTTATTTCACCCAACGCAACTCCGCTTATTGAGATAATTGTAATCATTTTATCAGTTAAAGCAAATGCATCCATTTTACTGTGTCAGTGTCTTAACAGTACTTTACGTTATTCTTAAAATACTATACCGATGTGTTAAATGTAAGAAATGTAGAATATTGCTTAAGCAATCACAGTAGTAGGGAGTGAAGTAGTTGGCCGAGTTGGCCAAATTAACTAAATTAGTAGCTTCATCAAACTTGATGAGTTGGTGTCAGACTACGTCTAGGCACAGATTCAGAGGGTTTGATTATCCTTTACTAATTTCCAACATTTGTGGCGTAAGTTAGATATCCGTCCACGAGAAGTCAGCCACACAGTATTTTTCATTTTCGTGCTTTGTTGCTTTGAAACGTGGTCATTGGTTTGATCATTCATATAATGAAGCTTGTCTTGCAATGAAAGCAAAATATTACTCTTACATGTTGATATGTTTAGATTATGAAAACTGTTAAATAATAATTTAATCTGAAAGTTAAGATACCTTGACAATGACAGTTAAAATGGATTTGTCTTGCATCATATTTTCTGGGTGTATGACTATATTTCATTGAAATTGTGAACTGATCATTATTAGACCAATATGACAAACCTGGAAACATTGGACTGCCGGTAACTCCTAGTATGGCAGCAGTGAGCAAACTCGACCCATGCTCACAAAAATCAAACCCAGGACTTTCGGTCCCGTTTCACCTCTTGACCAAGGTGAAACGGGACCGAAAGTTAACTTTAATCAGTATCTGATATTGCGCAACCTCACCGTCCAGAACTTGCAGGTTTATAATGGGGGTCTAACAATGATCGATTCATAATTTCATTTCAACTAAATAATCTCCCAAACTTTATCATGAAAAACTTAACTATGTATTTGACAATTTGCAGAATATAGTACTTCTTGTTATTGACCGGTTGTCTAACTACAGTTAGTACATGAAGTAAACTATATAATTTCAAAATCCCTACTAAACAACCACCCCCCCCCCCGATATACAGTCAGTCATAAGCGTACCTCAATATATGATCAACTGTTATTGACTGCTCTTACAAATAATGTTACTCAATTATGAAAAGACAACCTAGTTTAGATGGAGAAAATTTGTATCTCAGGTGAATGTTTGTGGTGGTGTTTCAATCTCTGAGCTCGATCTTTTGGTTGTAGAACTTTCCACGTAGAGAAATTCGAATATTTCACTTCTATTCAAAGTTTGTGCTGATGATATTGTTCAGAGGAACAATGAAAGCTCCACAACCAAAACGTCCAGCTCAGAAAAACGAAACATTACCACAGTCATCCAATCGAGCTACAAATTTTCTCCATCTCAACTACCACCACAAACAATCTAGTTCAAATCTATTGATCCAGTTTGTTCTTTATTACCTAATGAAATTTTTCTTTCACTCTTTGAAGTTTAGTTATTAAGATTCGTTCGACTGATTGATTCAGTTATTTATTTATTTATTAATCAAGAAAACAAAAATACAACAATAGACAATCATAAATTGTAAATTTATTAGCAAACTATGCCGTGAGCAAGAAACAAACGAACGAATGAACATTGAAAATAATTTCGGGGAAAATTTAATTTTCCAATAAAAAGAAAGGAAACAACTCACAATTGTGAGATTGAAACTGGGCAATTTATAATTACTTTTTTTTGTGAAAAATATCAAGTATTTTTTGACCAATTCAAATGATAAACGGAAACGAGTAGTTGACTAGCCGGTATATATAAACGTAAATATATCAATGAAATCGAATTCAAAATTCCCCATTACATATAACTTTATAGTTAATAGTCCATGTGATCGTAGACCTAAATTTCAGTGTTAATATTAACTTCAGTTGTGAAGTGGTTGATTATGATTAAAAAATTACTGATATTCTTAAACAAAAAATAAATAATGACATCTCGACTAATTCCAAAGTTCATTAGTTGTGGCTTGATTTTCGTATGTATTGCTGACAGCTTGACAATTCCAGTGAATTTCTACACCAGCTTATAGTAGGTTACGAACAGATTTTTATTGAAGACAAATGTAAGATAAGTAGTTTTGTTAATCACGAATCTGTCAGGAATTTTATAATACGGTTATCAAAATAAAACTATGCTTTCTTTAAGATAGCTCATAGGAGACTCCAGAGGTTTACAAGGAGCTGAAGAGTTTGTATATAATCAGAGCTTGATAGAATCTCTAGAATGTCCATGTAGAATAAAGTGATTGGATGATATTATTGATATTTTAACCCTGTACATTTTAACACCTTGTGAAGGGGAAGCATTCTTCGCATACGTCACGTCTTTTTTCTAATGTTCAACTTTTACAGTAGATTTAGTCTGGAATTGTTAAAAGCGAATAGGCAATCGAATTTAGCAGACTTATCAATCATAATAACCACTGTGTGATTGACAAAATTTTAATCAACATTTAAGATTGAACAAAAAATTTCTTTTGTTTTAAAAAATGTCTAAAGGTTTTACTGAAACATTTGGTAATAGAATTTCTAAGAGAAAAAATTTCGAAATACCGATATATTGTACAATCATAGTGTTCATGAAATATAGGCCTACACTCTCTTTTACCTGACTGATAAATATATCTCAGCCCAAAGTATTATTGTATGACAAAATTTTTGGCGTAATATTATCTTCTATGATAGTTCGAATCTTGTGAGTTGCGGGAGTCGTGGATGCGCACTGTTGATGAGCCCCATTCTAGGACAAAACGGCCGTCCAGTACTCTCAGGTTTCTAATGGTGATCTAACAATGACTGCCTCATGATTCCAATCAAACTAACAATCTCCACAACCCCTATAATGTAAAACAATAAATGATGTGTACAAAAGTATAAGTAAACCATTTGAAGTTATTTCATAACCAAAAAGTTATTTTAAATCGAGATAGTTCACTATTCAATTTGTGTTTTTTTTTCAAGAGTTAGTACTGTATGGATAAAAATCTGTTTAACTCTTGCGATAATAATAAATTACAAGATATCGTGCGTAATCTATTATTGATTCTTGAACATTAGAGCTGTTAACGATTCATTACAAATTTTTTCAGTGAATGTAGTGTATGTAGTGTGTATACATTGATGCATAAACTTAGGAAAGTAATTGAACGTTGAAGCTGGATTCAATGTTCAATGGTTTAAGAAATAATTATCTAACGTAATAGTAACTGAAAAGTGACTGAAGAGAAAGGGGGTTACTGTAATTTCATAGATTTTTTTTATGTTTAAATATCGTCGTTAAAAGACTATGCCGTATGTATATCGTGTGTAACATGAAAACATGAACTAAAATTGAATGGATTATATTGAGCATTAAACAGAGTTTATTTAATGTAGACGTATGGTAGGTGTTTGGTTATAAGGTCGAATTGACATGGAATTAGCTAAATTTCACTTTTTCATTGATGATACCATATTTTTATTGCATTATTGCTGTTACTTGATTGTATACGTGAAATCGTGCGTATTTGTATGTTTTCGGATTATGTGAAATTAAGAAATTTGTAAAGTGAAGCGATACATTTCAAATTTATGTGTAAGTATATGTGTTCGTGGTTTGATTAGTAAATAGAATCAAATACGATTGTTGAGATGAAATGATCAAATGGAATCGTTTGTTATGCATTCATTTTTATTAAAAATAGATGGACTTGCTATTCATTTCAGATTTATGTAGATTGTTAAGTTTCATTAAAACCTTGAATCGATCATTGTTAGACTACCATGAGAAACCTGTATGTACTGGACGACCGGTATGTCCTAGTGTGGGACTCATCGGCAGTGAGCATCCACGGCCCCGCTCGCGGAAATTGAAGCCAACGCCTTTGGTGTCTAGAGAGAAGGCTTAATCTATGGATTCAACTGCCTTAATATCTAACTTTAATTAATCCAAGGTATTGCGTAATCTAGTGGTGGTCGTCTATCGTTGATCGATTCATGATTTCAATGAAACTCAACTGTCTCCACAACTCTAAAATGAGATTTGTCATGTAGTAACTCGTTAGTAACTTCATAAAGAAATCCTTGGAGTTCTAGTGATACGAAGTGGTCAGTTGGGTTCATCAGTGTCCAGTGTAAGGCAGTCACCCACCAGAGAAAATACCTTGGATTCAGTAAGCTCAGACATTAACACCGTGTGAGCCCAGTTGACTGATCTGGAGATTAAGTGTTCGTGCGCAATTCCAAAGTTGAATTCCAACATGACGGTTCGTGAATGTACACTGTCACTGACAAGTCCCATACTAGAACGAAATTGCCGTTCAGTGTTTTCAGGTTTGTAATGGTGATCTGACAATGATCGGTTCACTGGTTGGATGTTGATGATATTATTGATTATGATTATTAATTTTAAATTATATTTATCTGTTCTCACAGATTTACCTTTTCTTGTTTTCTTTTCACTATAGGAATGGATTGATGAACGGCTTACATGGGATCCTCAAGATTATAATAATTTGTCCAGAATAAGAATACCATGTCAAAAATTATGGTTACCAGATATAGTATTATATAATAGGTAAATGAATAAAGTTTGGAAAATAATGTAATCAATGAATGTTAGGTTTTTTTCTATATTTCTACTTTTATTGAAGATGATTTATTCTTTTCCTGATAAGATGTAGATTGAAAATGAACTCATTAGGAAACAGTATTCACAGATTTACGTTAAATGATACACATTTCAGTTGGATGACTATTGTACATATACATTTTTCGGTTGATTTGGAATTCATATTTTGATGTATTGTAAAGTGAACTGTGAATGAAATTCGAATAAAATACACCTCTAAAATTATGTTATTCACTGTTGAATCGAACACCTCTTGATTTAACATCACATCGAGTCATTTAGTGTGGTAAGCTAACTAACTTACTTTCGCCTATTACCACCAATGGAGCATAGGCCGCCGACCAGTTTTCTCCAGCCAACTCTGTTCTGGGCTTCCCTTTCCGGGTCCTTCCAATTTTTGTTCATTCTTCTCATGTCTGTCTCCATTTCTCAGCGTAATGCGTTCCATGGTCTTCCTCTTTTATTTTTACTTTAGGGGTTATAAGTGGGTGCATTATGCAGTGTGAGTTCTGTCCACTTCTAGAGCTTCTTACCGATTTCTTCCTCCACTGGCATCTGGTTTGTTCCCTCCCACACTAGGTTGTGGCTGATGGTGTCTGGCCAACGAAACCGAAGACGTTTGCATAGACAACTGTTAATAAATACTTGTATCTTCTGCATGATGGCTCTCGTAGTTTCCGCTCCATAAAGTACAACTGTCTTGACAATTGCATTGAAAATCGTGATTTTGGTGTTGATTGATATTTGTTTGGAGTTCCAGATATTTTTCAGTTGTAGAAATACAGCCCTAGCTTTGCCGATCCGTGTCCTCACATCTACATCGGATCCACCTTGATGATGCAGCCAAGTAGTGTGATAAGCATGAATTATATAATCATGTCAAGTACTAAATCATTTGTGCAAAAGTCACGTACAAAGTAGATCTTATCTAATTGTATATAACGTAGCCAATAATTTACATATTAACATATTATGTGTAATAAGTTGCGAGGTTCCTTCAGCAATCTGGTCTCGTATTTCAGGTATCACTACTACAAATTGTTTAACTGAATTTATCGTCCATAGGAATTCCATCGATTCAAATTTAGTGATACAAAATACATTGATGAAATTAAAATATCCTCTTTGAAAAATACTTCTAAACTACGTTATGATTTGTCATGTTTCTCTAAGTGATATTTATAAGTGTTGAAAGCTACTGTATAATGTTTGTTATACGGAAGATTTTGTATTCAACAACCGATATATATTTGATGATGTAATGAGATGTTTAAAGGAAGCTGAACAATGAATCTGATATCATTTGATTAAAGGTAGGAAAATGATTCAAAACTAAGGTTGTTTAGTGTTCTCAGTGGTGTTTTTGAATATCTTTCCATCCAATACAATTTTAAGAGTAATTCATATCGTGTTTATTCAAATGTTCAAAAAAAACAATTGGCCTCAAAAATATTTACCAGGAAGTCACAAAAATTTGAAATCTGAATATATTTTCTTTTTAGAACTTTGCATATAAATGAATCATGTTCGGATAAATTCTACCATTATTAAAAATATATTTATGGAATCTGTTATTACTGAAATTGATCTCTTTTTCACTAACTGATATTGTAAATTAAAACTCACTGTTATATTGTGAATATTTTTGATTAGGCACGTTTTTTTTGTTTTTGAAGGATTAGACAGTTGACTGTAGATTTTAACGGACACAGAATTACAGAACTGGGTGGTTAATTAATAAAGCTTTCACTTTTTTTTCTAAAATCTTCATCTCCACAATAGTCACGTATAAATGAGATTTTAAAAATTTATGAGCAGTTAAAAGAGACAAGACAAATCTACTACCAACAACACGATAAGTGTTGAAACCAATAAGTTGCACTCAGTAGTTGTAATAACGAACCGATGTTAGCTAGACCACCGTCAGAAACTTGGAGGCAGTGGACAGCCGTTTCGATCGAATATGGGATTTCTTGTTAGTACAGCAAGTCAATGTTCTAGATTTTAGGCGTTCGCATGTGACAACAAAGTTCCGGCTTTGATGTTCACATACTAGGAATCGTGGAAACGCACTGCTGAAAAATCCCATATTAATCAGTAACAGCTTTTCAATGCTCTTACGTTTCTGATAATGTTCAGTTTAAATTTTTTTATAGCTCATTTCTATCAGAAATTCACACTGTCGATATTGTATTTAAAGATGACGAAATTTGTACCAATAACCTAACTATCTAGTTCAGAAAATGGAAATTCACAGACATAATTTTTCAATCAACATCCAATTATCGATTGGCTGAATATAGAATACGCTTAAATTTCTATTAATTTTTTTTCATTACAAACGAATGAGGTTTTTAATAGATAAGTCGGTTTTATACTTCAAAAATACGAATGAGAAAAGTGATTGACGAGTGAACAAAATGACAATTTATTGATTAGATAGTTTAAAGCAGAAATATTATGCTGATTACAAGAATGTTTGAAACTTCAAGTGTGTCAACACTTGATATAATATGAAATAAATCAGTTATTGTTTATTACTAACCTTAATGTTTGAATAGCGTCGTTATTATGTGTATACATTTAGTCTTATTAATATGTAGAAGATTACTTAAACATTGAGTGAATCCTAAGTAAACATAAAGTTATGTTATTTTCTTAGAGAATAGTGAGTTTTCGAAAACTCACATATCAGTAAATAGATAAACACATGAATGAACAATATCATGTGTTGCTTGGGTTGATCAATATTACTGTTACAGACTTTGATATATTAATGTGTATAAATGGTGATTATTGTATTGTTACAGGTTCATTTACATAGTTTGAAAGGATAAAATATTCAGAGCTTTAAGAAAAGTTTATTACTGAACGAAAGTGAATATGCATCCCTAGAAGATTGTCTTGCTAAGGCTGTAAGTTTTAATAAATGTGGAATTGTGACTAGTGGTGGGATTCAGAGAGAAAGTCTCATTCTTATCCAGAGTCTTTAACTTAATTTTGCTTAATCCAGACCACTGACGGTTTATACGTTTCAATAAAGGAATATAAGTTGCAGTTCACGACGCGGAAAAATGGGAAATATGAGGCTCTCTAAATGACTCACTTGGATTCTTTCTGAACTCGATAACTCATTGGATACGGTGGTACTAATGATATGCTCTTCAACTGATATGCCTGAAACTATTACGAGTTCGCCTTACTCTCGTTAAACGGAGCGAAGACATTCAATGCATTGACACGATAGGCTATTTTAATCCGTTGTCCCCAACCCAGCTTACTATAGCAAGAAATCTTGATCAGGCGTAGAAATGTATTCTACAAGCACCCAGAAATACAAGGTCAACAAGCACACAAATTGAGTTTATTTATCCGTGATAGAAACGTCCTTGGGAGAGTGTAAGTGGTGTTAGTGGGACATAGATGGAATTAAAGCATGACTACGTTGCTGCGCGCTGATTGGCTAATTTCCTATCCAATCAGCGCCTGATCGAATCTTGGAGACAGGGTAGAAGATTCTCGTACTGTTAGCAGCGTGCTGATTGGTTAAATCTAATCTAGCCGATTACGTGAATTTCTATCCAGACTAACGTTGAATCTATTTTGCCTTCGCCTTCGCCATCACCTCTGGCTTCTTATTCCTTGCTATTTGGAATATAATCTTTCCTGTTCAACCGTGTTTTTGATTCTTGTGAACTTGTCCAGTGTATTGTGGTCAGAGAATACTAAGCGATAGGATTTAGCCGGAAAATATATCTAAGCAGGCATTACAACAGAGAGCCAGAAAAATAGCGCACTAAAATAATCCATCAATCAATCACAGTCTGGGTGGGAATTGTAATCTCAAAAGCAACTGGGCAACTTATGCGCGAAAATATAAAAAAATCAAAAAGCGGACCTTTCCAAGTGAGTTTCGGGGTTAACAGCAGTTAACATCAACAATTCAGTATAAGAGTATATGCATTTTGAGTTTCAGATCAGCTGAAACACAAGTCTTAATTTTCACTGCTAATAACTATCCGAAATTTATTAAAAAAAAATATTATCTAACTATACTCAAAATTAACTTCCGAAATCAATCAGTTTCAATAAGCAACTTGCATATCAAATCTATTTTTAGTACGTTATGTAATAACTTGTGCTTAATTAGTATTTTTTGGTTGAATGTAGAATTTTGATTGTCTAGAAATTAAATATAACTTCGATTATTTCTCTGTTTTACTTGAAATATGTGAATTGATTTAACGACATCCATAGAAACTCTAGTCTTCCTGACAAATAAATAACAATTTCAACTAAGAAGGCGAACAAAAAATTGTATTCTCTAAATTGCAAATGATCATACAATACACAAATTACTTTTGTTTATATGTAAGAAAATTTAAAATGAAATAAAAAAAACACGAAATATGTAAAACCAGAGTTTGTTTAATTGATAAAATGATCCAGTAGTTCTGCAATAACTCAAGTCACTACATGAATTGGTCTTTTTTAAACAATGATCGATAACTAAGATGCATTGGATAGATGTCTGCTGTTAGATTGGGACTCTTCATCAATGTGCAGACAAAATGACATTAAGGATCAAACTCAGTCTTAATATAATCCTTTAACTCTTTCATTACTGAGCCGGCATACATTGGCATATATTTCAGTTAATTAAAAATATTGGTGTCAATAAAACGTTGCAATCTCTACAAACCCTCTCTGCCAGTGATTATCACTTGTTCACTAGTAACTGGATTCGAGAGGTTATTTTCCAATACTAATGGAAAATTATGACTGTCAGACGAGTTCAAATACATAGAGTTTGGGGTAGTTAACCATCAAAGTCAAAGGGAAATTACTACTCAATCTTGAAAACTGAATAAAATCTGACAAATATCATATGTTTTCGGCTTAGTTATCTCTGAGTTAAACTTCTAAAACGATATGGAAAGTGTTAT